ATTTATTTTGTTGAATGATATATGATTAAGTTCTTTCATTTTCTTTGCCATTTGATTATAACTTATAGTGTAATTAAATTTTCTATTGAATGATTGTCATAAACATTTATTTATTTATTTAAAAAAAAAAATTAAATTCTTTAATATTTTTCCACCGATAAGGAGAAAGTGGAACCTTACTTTTATATAGATATGATTATATTTAGTCAATTTAAGCGTTTTAATCATTCGACCATATATGATCAGGCCTGTATATGAGATATATGTTATTAGCTAGTATATTGTTCCATTATTTTTATATGACATATGGTAAGAGTCGTTGTCAACAGAAACACCAAAACTTTTTTGGCTTCACCTTCCTAACAAAATGATTTACCTTCGCAACCGCATGAGTCTTCACCGCCACCGATATCTCGTTTCCCGGAGACTCGCCTATTTCTATACTTCTCCTTGTAAGCTCCTCGACTGAATTACCAATGACGACCACTTCTGAGTGAGTAAATTCTTGGGGTTGTTCCACTGCTTTAATTTGGATGACGATTCATACAAATTTACAACAACTATGAGCATTGGATATATCTTATAAAAATAAAGCCGCTGAAAGCATAGATCATGACAAATGTGTTGTATAGAGAAATATTCTTACAACGTTGAGGTTGTGTTTTAGGACAGTTTCCGAGAAGCCACAAACATCTCAAGACAACAGAGACAGAGAGAACAACTACGATGATCCATAAACCCCATTCCAAATCCAAATACTGCATCAAATCCCAATCCCAAACCCAATTCATATTCATATCTTTCTTTTCTCTTTTCAATTTCTGTTGAACAATATCTTCTTTTAACAAAACATTAAAAAAAGGTTATAACGTTTATCATTCGCTCATGCTTGCCTTGTTAAATCACTAACTTGCACGCTTTAGTCCTTAACTAACCAAGTTTAACGGAACCAATCAATTTTAAGTACATTATATAAAACGACGTCGTTACAATAATGGCAAAACAAGGAAAAAAAATCCAGAACTTGACGAAAAACTCCTCAGAATAGACACAAAATTACGGTCTAATACCACTGCGTTTGATAAGTAGTAAAATCCATTGACCACCACAGGAACAATGCCACTGCCACCACTCCTCCGTCGATCTCTTTCTCCTTCCGTTGTCTCCTCCTTCTTCCTCCGTCGCTCAATGGCTTCATCAGCAATCTCCTCCGATCCAATCTCCCCATCAAACACCAAAATCGGATGGATCGGAACCGGAGTCATGGGCAGATCAATGTGCGGACACTTGATCAAAGCAGGGTACACCGTCACAGTCTTCAACCGAACAATCTCAAAGGCTCAAGCTCTCCTCGACATGGGTGCTAAGGTCGCGGACTCACCAAACTCAGTCGCTGCTCAATCCGACGTCGTTTTCACCATCGTTGGTTACCCTTCCGATGTCCGTCACGTCCTCCTCGATCCAAAGTCCGGTGCTTTATCCGGTCTCCGTCAAGGAGGCGTCCTCGTCGACATGACTACCTCTGAGCCTTCTTTAGCTGAGGAGATAGCTAAAGCTGCTTCCTTTAAGAGTTGTTTCTCAATAGACGCCCCTGTCTCAGGTGGCGATTTAGGAGCTAAGAATGCGAAGCTCTCTATATTCGCCGGAGGTGATGAGACAACAGTGAAACGTTTAGATCCCTTGTTTTCTCTAATGGGTAAAGTGAACTTCATGGGAACAAGTGGGAAAGGTCAATTTGCTAAATTGGCTAATCAGATTACTATTGCTTCGACGATGTTGGGGCTTGTTGAAGGGTTGATCTATGCTCATAAAGCTGGACTTGATGTTAAGAAGTTTCTTCAAGCGATTTCGACTGGAGCTGCTGGTTCTAAGTCTATAGAATTGTATGGGGATAGGATTCTGAAGAGGGATTTTGATCCAGGGTTCTATGTGAATCACTTTGTCAAGGATTTAGGGATTTGTTTGAACGAGTGTCAGAGGATGGGATTGGCTTTGCCTGGATTAGCTCTTGCTCAACAGCTTTACTTGTCTCTTAAAGCACATGGTGAAGGTGATCTTGGCACTCAGGCTCTCATCTTGGCTCTTGAGCGTCTCAACAATGTCTCTGTTCAACCAAATGTCTCTTGATTTAGGGTTTGTTGCTGTTTCTGATTTGTGTCTGTTGATCTGGTGATTAAGATTTGAACTTTTGTGTACTCTTAGAACATGATCTTTATGTTGATCTGGAGAAAAGAAATAAAATTTTGTGTGCACATTTGATATTTCATTGGATATACGTGTGATATGTGCTTAGTGATGAGGGAAAATGAATCCTTTATATACTCAGAACTCCAGTGAAGTGAGGTTTGAATTTTATAGTGTTTACAACATTTATCTGGTTATAAAATCCCAGAATCTGAAGAACTGGTCCTTTATTTTTCAAGAACAATGAAAACAAATATTTTCTCCCAAGGAAACTTATTTGCTACGAGAGAGTCTTGGGGAGAAGAGGAAACATAAAATGCTTCTTATGACGCCTCAGACCATCACTTTGGCTTTTTTTTTATCTGATAGCGAAAAGCTTTGTTAAATTACCGAAAAATGGCGCTCGTTGGGAAGGTTTTAAGAGTCTTCAAGGTACAGAGAGTGAGAAGCAGCAAGAAGCGCAGCTCCAATGCCTGATCCATCATTGGAGTGAATGACTTCAATGCTTCCTGAAGCTTCATTTCCAAGTAACTCTTTTAGTGACCTCTCCATGCACTCACTAAACTGAGTGTAGTGCTCAAACAACCCCCCATCCATGGCTACAACTGATTTCTGCATCTCCTCTTCTTTGTTCGTATCTCTTCCCAGTTTTTTCAGAATACCGTAGATTCCAGCAGCAGAGAGACGGGCGCCTCGAGTAGCTATAATGTCGCAGAGACTGATCACAACTTTTCTCATTTTCAGAGAAGTTGTAGGGACCTCCAGTATATCCTTAATCTTGCTACCAACAATTTTCAAGTCTGGAGAAGTGTCATTGTGTATAGCCGACATGTGAGGAGTCCTGCATATGATTCAACTTTAGACAAACTCATTCCGCAAAAGATGAAACTGTGAGCAAACCAATTCTGCAAAGGATGAAACTGTAGACAGACACAGACCCATACCACAAAGGATCAAAGTTTTATGGATATAAACTGCGCAAAAACCAAAACTAGTTAAGCGTACCTAATGATAAATGGTATTCTCAGCTTCGATGGGACGGTATCGCCAAAGAAAGCAGCTTCTTCAGCCATCTTTAGAAGAACTCTTCGCAAAATCTCTCCCAAGTACATACCAGAAATGATTTTCTCAAGAATCTGCAAAATGACAACAAATCCACATAAATCTCATTTCTTGTGACAGCTCGTAAGTATTGCAATTTGTAACAACAACCCCGAGTTTAAAAACTCATACCTGTTCGCCTGGATTCAGGCTCTCAAAATCCAGCGAGTGATCAAACTCTGTTAACGGGAGATGTGAGGACCTGAAGTTTCCCCATTCCATATTTATAACCATTTCTCCTGATTTTGGAAGCGGACCATGCCATTTGGGGATCGCCGTCGCACGCTCAACATAGGCTGCGTTTGTCCCAGTACCTAAAATAACAGCAGCGGCAACATCCGGGTTATAGTATCTACCTCCGGCTAGTGTTCCAACAGTATCATTAACCTGTTAAGCAGTAACATCAAATCAACAAACATACAACAAACCAAAATACTAGGAGTATAAGGCAATAAATAACTCACAAGTGCTGCGACTCGCATGTCAAGATTAACTCTTTCCATGGCCTTCTTAAGTGCTCCAACAACATCTTGTCCAACCTATTGCAACGATCAAACCAAGATCAGGGTAAAGGCGAAACTGATCATAATAAGGAAAATAGTTGAAGGGAATCGAGCTTAACAGCTTCGTCGATGGAAAAGCCTTTTGTCCATTTGATGAGAGCACCAGAGGATAAAGATGTCTGCTTAACAGGAAACGAGAAAGTGAAACCTAGTTCCCTCTGTCTACCTTCTGGAAGACGAAATTCTTCGCATTCTGTGGCGACAAACTTTGCAAGCGCCTCAGCGATAAAATTGAATAGCTCCTGAAAAATGCATCATAAGAACACAAAATCTAGTTATATATATAGAATCATCCAAGAATAACATGACAACAACAGACTTAAAACAAGAAACTGACATCAGAACCACCAGTCATCAAATGGGGAGGTATCGAAACTTCTTCAAACTCTTGTTTAGCAACACGCTCTTCTTTCCCGCCAAGAAGCACACGCATAACACGAAAGTTTGTTCCACCTAGATCCAATGCATAAAAGAGACCCTTCTCATCCCTGTTACATCAAAAGTCAAGCTTAGACAAATTCTCTAGACCTATACAACACGAAACTAGACGAATCACGCTAACAAGGTTAAGACGAAAAGGCAACTGCAACAAATGTTCGACAAAAGCTGCACAAAATGACTTCTAGAAATGTGACACAATCAATCTCATTAATACATCGGTTGTCACAATCGATCTCATCATAGGCTAATCTTATGACAAAGTTGGCGTTTTTTGCCTTAATGCATGAAGGTAATGTTAAAGAGAAGAAAACAAAACAGAGCTAAAATAAATAAACAAAACCAAACTCCGTATAAGTGATACAACAAAACTTATAAGAAGATGAGAAAAATGATTCAGTGGGACATGATCTCAGATTCCAAAAGATTCTCTCAGATACTGAAACTGTAGATCAAATTAATCAAATCAAATTTAGACCACAAACGATCCAAACACAGAGACGAGACCATGCAAATTGAATCTCAAATCAGTTCGTAGCATTGCAAAAATGAATTGATGAAAAAAGAAGGAAAATTTCGATCCAAATCAATTTACCCAGAAGGAAGATTATCAACGTAGCTGATAAGCATCTTGAGTTTGCTGCCACCGTCGGATGCAAGACCAGCGTGCATCTCAACGGTCATAGCATCAGCCACTTGTCTCAGCTTGGAGATCGGAGTCGCACAGTCTTCCTCAAACGCCTTGAGGATCGCCAAAACACGTCCCCACTTACCAGAGCTCTGCATACGTCGTCGAACGACCAAAACAGCCACCGCACAAACAGCCGCCGTGCACACAACCGTCGCTCCAACAGCTACTTTACCCATTTTTCCGATTTGGGAATCAAAAACAAACGAATCTAAAAAATAAAAATCGGATTTTTAACGATTTCCCGATCGCAAGAAAGAAAGAAACAGAGAAAGAAGAAATAATCAAAATTTTCCGAAACCTAAGATGGATCTAACACCGATCTACTCGCTCGACTCGAGGAGCTTGGTGGTTCGTCAAAAAAAAAAAAACAGTGTAGAAACCACGTAAGCGTTCTTGTCCGTAAAGTATGGAAAATAAAAACAAAAAAAAATTGGTAATAGATTATGTTGGAATTACGAAATGATCCCTTTTGTCTAATTTTCTTTTTTGATCTTTTTATCCACCTAAGTTTCTGGTAGCACCAATCATTCTCGAAACCTAACCAACCACAAGATCATGTTGTAACATTCTTCTTCTTTTTTTTTTTTTTTTTTTTTTTTTTCTATCTAACCAATGAACCTCATGTTTTTATTTTCGTCAAACACTGGAGATAACATGGTTAACGATCCTCATTCATTAATTCGTATCACTGTGTCTTAAATATAAGACATTTAGCTTTGGCTTGGTTAAGATAAAAGTTAGATAAACAATGTTTTTAGAGACAAATGTGATACGGATTATCCAGATATTGGATTGGAGTTATTACCCAATCCTT